GATTACAAGAAATTGGGTTCCAAAATGATAGTTTCATTTTTGAAATTTCCGGTAATATATTGTGGGGGTGTGTATTTGGTTAATCATGCTCTTTCCCTTGTTATGGGAATGGCATTGTTCGATACTGCTGACGGAATATTAATGCTAGGCACGTATACATGGGCATACATTAATCCCGTCAGAAAAATCTATTATAATCTTGTTATCACTTTCTTTTCCATCGTTGTCGCATTCGTAATCGGTGGAATCGAATTGCTTAATATTATTGGGGAACAAGTTAGAGTTGGAGGGACCTTTTTGGGTTTCTTTGCAATGCTGGGTGATAATTTCAACCTAATTGGTTATTTAATTATTGTATTATTTGTGGGTACTTTTTTCATTGCAAAAATATTCTATAAAGCGTTAGGTTCTGAAGAGTTAGAACATAAATTTGATGAACAAGAAGGGAATAATATTGTAGGTGCAAATAATGAAAAGTAATTACAATAGCTTTTAATGATTTCGACACTAATTTGAACCCATGCTATGATCTTTATTTATTAAAATATAAAATACACATCGAATCCCTAAAGTTTTTATGAACAAATTCCGGATACATTCAAAATATAAATCAAACTTTTGTTTATTTAAAACGGCAGGTTTGTTTTAAGGAAATCAAAACGTCAACTCAATTATGCATGCATGTTGCCAATAATTTAAAAGTCAAAAGAATTGTAACGTTTCGCTCATGTTAGACTATATTGCAAATTTCTCAATTCAGTAATCATTTGAGAAAGTTCCATGAAAATGCCAACATTCAAAAGCTGCAGTACTTATTAGAATAACTTTAATGAATATAACGATAAGGGAATAAAATAATAATTAACCATATATATAAGTTCTGCAGCTCCTTGTCAAAGAACAACGTTTTTAGAAGGATAATGAAAAATGCTCGTGCTTTTTAATTGCTTGCTTTCTATTGCTAAATTAGCAATTACAAAAGAATTACATGCACATGTATAATATTTGTAATGAAATAAATAGACACATTGCATTTGATGTTGAGTTTTCTATACGATAATACTTTAATGGCAATTTATTACGCGCAGTATCCCACAACTCTGTTTAACTTTTTTTACGGGATGATATCAAATCAATGCACAAAGTTCTACTGTGGTCTTTATACAGTATATACAAAAAGAATCAACAATAAACTCATCAAAGAGATGATATACTCTCTTCTTTTTCCGGAAATATTTCGTCATTATCCAATTATTAACCCAAAACCGGATATTACCATTGACTTAACGGATTCCTAACTAGGAGTAATTGAGCTAGCCCTTTGCCGTTACCTTTTTATTGTTGTTTTCTTTAACGTTAACGCCAAAAAAAGAATTAAAAAATGGGATGGAATTATTCTTTTTTAAGAACGCGCATGCGATTATCATTGGCTTGTAAACTCTTTTGGCAAAGATCAAAGCTAGTCTAGGCTTTGAGATAGTATATCTTTATCTTTTCGACAAATATTATAAACGATAGAAAATCCAAATTTGATTTCAAATCAAATTCACCAATAAAAATCGGTTTTATTTTAAGATAACGGGTAATGCCTAGTGTAGTAATAAACATGCACGATGTCTACGTCATTGTCGATCAAACAAAAGATCGGGTCAAAACTTTTGTAAGGGTTAAAAAGCTCGGTTTTTTCCTCGGAGATCAAGTTAAAATACAATGATGTAAAGGTGAAGCAAAGAAAAGACTGAATCTATTGTAAAGAATCGCTATTATTCTTTTGAAATTTGTGCGGTTGCCCCAGATTCGAAGATCAACATACTATAGGTATTTTAAATAAACGATGTGCATAATTAATACAGTTCATTGGATAATAAATTACAAGCAAATATGGTACAATAGCACATGTCGTTATTTTTAGACGATCACCTGACATTAAGCAGGTGTAACTTTGATCAATTGCATTATCGAAATCAAATAAACAAGCATGCTCTATACAAATCGCATCAAAGAAAATTTATTATGGTGAATTTCCTATTCAAAGTCTTTTTAATTTTGCCCCTTTCAGAAACTCCGGTCAAACTGTAAAATAATTCCTAGAAGTACTTGAAACCCCTGAAATAATATTACTGTATGATAAAGGATTTTTTTACAAATAAGTTTCGCACATGCAAGCATCAAAAATTAGTGTTCGATCGTTTTTGAGAAAGCGAAAGGTGCCATGGAAGCTTTTTGCCTTATATGGACTTGTTAGAAATTCTAATGTTACATGTATTTTGTTTGTTTCGTTGGTCACATGTAGGTGATGTTCCATGAAGAAGAGCGAGTACAAATCAAGAGAAATATTTATCTCACACAAACAAGATTCACATCGTTATTATGAAGTGAAAATCTAACTTAAAATGAACTAAAATACGGGGAACACACGATTTTCAGGGTTTCACAGGGGCTGTATATTTCTTACATGATATCTATTTTGCATAAAGATTACGTGAAAAAACCAATCTATGTTAAACTAAAAGGAATTTACTACATGTGTACATATATTGTTTACTGTATAAATGTATAAAATATTGCACTGAGTAACCCAAAACAAGTAAATTTGATACGCGGTATCACGGCACTGGTTTTCTTTCTCGGTCTACAGCATTTTTCTTGGGAAAACCAATCATATTACAGGTGTAAACAAAGTATCCATATAAATATCGGCGCATTTTTTAGAAAAATGAGAAAGTGAAAAACTCGAAAAGTTCATTATCGTGTAAAAAAAAGCAACAACAAATACAAGACGCGCTTACTCAGCACTCATTGACTAATTTATACCTCTTCTTCACATAAACACAACAGAACAATCACAATATAATTTTTCCTTTTTCGGGAACTTTCTGTATCCCACAATTTCTTATAAATCTAACTTTCTCTCTCTCTCTCTCCCTCAAAAACCCAACTCGAGCAATAATAAATAAATCTGTCATCAATTAATCAATTAGAAAAATGGCAGGAAACACTAAAACAATTGTGATATTCCCAAATGTTGAAATATGTGAAGAACCAACAGAACTGGAATTAAAAGATGTTGCTGTCTTCTCGGCTCTAGATCGTAAACTTGAACGTTATCGCAAACGTAGAATGATGCATGAACGAGCTGGTCGTATCCTAAGACCACACATACCCTCATCCTCATCCTCATCTGACTCTTCAAGTAATGAACAACAAAAAAATAACTAAATTGCCCATTGTCTCCAATACTTATGATTACTTGAAAAGTTTCATTGGCGTTGTTGTTCGCTTTCGTAGTTGTCTTTTGTGGAGATTCAAATACTAATTATTCATACCAAAAGAACAATTGAATGAATTGATTTCAGATTACACTTTGCAAATGTAAGATATTATTTTTTTTCATTACATACCTTTTTTCTAATAGAACAGAAAGTATAGTGGCTTATTCTCTTGTAAATAATTTTACTTTTTGGCCTTATTTCCATGTTCATTTATTGGTTGGTATTCGTATCAATGTTCCTCCCCCATCAATATTCATTGTTTAACCTAATAATATTAAATTCAATAAATATTATTTTTATTTATTTTATTAATAATAGCAAATTCTATGCTTTTGTGATAATAAATAATATTTATCCCACGTACGTACTTATTATCAATATAAAGTATAGTATCCGTATGGTAATTATCAATGCTTGCCTCCGAAATTTAAAATGCAGCCGCATGAATATATTTAACGCGCGTGTGTTCATCGATTCATTGATGCAATACATTCTATTTTATTGCCATTTTTTCATAATATTATATACAAAATGCATTCATATTGTTACAATGTCATACGACATCTATTGTCAATATGCTCTTTGCACATAAGGTAATTTGAATCACCGAATAAATTCCGGTCGAATAACTTGAAATCATGCAAAAAGCATCGTTCATAGCTTTCCATAATATCTTTCTATCTAATCGTGTGAGATGGTCTAACAAATGAATAGTGGTGTTAATATTAACTTCGTTCTTATTAACGTTATCGCGCTTGCACAAATCGAAAGACAATTTGTTCTCTTGTCATTGTTCCTTATCGATATTTTAAAAAACTTGAATGAACATGTTGTTTCCTGGAATAAAATACAGTGTTTGCCCTCATCGTACAATTTATTAAATGAGTTCTACGATAATGTTCTTTTATCGTTATCGTCATACTTTTAAAGGTTCTCAGGAGATCATACATTTATTAAGTTTTATATAAATATTAGTAAATCGGGTATCCGTGAATCAAGTTTATCATATGCAACATCAAAAATGTTCGTTCATTTATTTTTAGCTAATTTCTATTTCTTAATTAATAAATGCGTTGTTTTTCTAGGTGCGCAGCATCTACTAATTGTATAACAACACTGCTCGTACGTTCTGCAGTTAATTCATTTAGAACTCCGTAGCCCCCGTATCTATTACGCACATGTATTGACAATTTAATGAATGATACATGTACTTTGTGAGCATATAAAAGTTTGATCCAGGACACTCAAAATTATTGATAGAAGTATTCCATTCCGAATATTAATTCGACTAACCAATACACTTTATAAAGGAGGTGATTTGAATTTGATATGAATACTTTATATCTCCGAAAATAAACTATCCTTTTTTGCACGATTTTATCAAGCTTGAAAAATGAGGGTAGCTTATCTTTGGGGTTCATTCTTCTAGGTTAAAGATATTTTCGACGTAGCTTATTTTCGGAGATATACAGTAATCTCGCTCTGCATACATTAAATAATTATGTTCCAAAAGATTTATCAAAGGATGTAGCACCGTTCTAGAACTCAAATTAAAGAGTTTCGCATATGTTTAACCAAATTACACCGGAAATAGATTCAATTGGCATGTACATGTAAATTATTACGAGCTCTTAGGTAGATTGCAGAATATAACGTTTCAATGCAAGAAATTTTTATTTCAAAACAATAAAAAAAGAACAGCGAATCAAATAATAATATAGAATAAGGTACATGCTAATTAATTTTGAGCCAATTTGATTTGATGAATGCAATACATGTTTCAAGCACATGTACATTTCGGCGTATGCAAAAGTACATGTACATGTAGTATGTTATTTGTGCAAATTTTACACATTCGAGCTGCTAACACAGACAAATGCGAAAAATAAAAGTTACAGAAACAGCGTTAATAATAATAGTGTACTTGGATGCCATTTGAATGACAATAATGATAGCAAATCAGGAAAACTGACAATGATGTTTGTGATTATTTCTCATAGAGATATCATAATCAAAGGTACCGCGATTTATAAAACAAACGAAGAAGGTCATTATAATTTTAATTTGTTTCTCTTTAATTCTCACAAACTAAAAATAGATTATTCTGTTTGCACATGTACATATATCATACTATAAATCAGAGTGATCTTTTCATGAATATAGTTCATACATAAATAATGAACTTAATACAGTATCATATCGGTATTTCAAGAAAAGTTTCCATTCTAAATTTAGTATAATAAAGGTTTTGAGAAACGAAGTAGTTGCAACACACTGTTTATTTATGTGCTTGTGTCAATTTATTATTTAAACGGAGTAACTACTGCTTGTGGTTCATCCGATTTTAAATAAGGTTAGATTAATTCAGCATTCAAGCACGGCTCAAAGTACCCTTGTAGAAAATTAGTCCAATGTTTAGGTAAAATATATTTTTACTGTAAAATGAAATGTCTTAGAGCACCGCATATATTGCAATTCTCCCCAACCCCCCTTTATATCTTATCTTCCACCACCAATGAAGTCGTTAAACTGTGAATAATATCGGTATTATTTGATTCTAAAACATGTAGCTTGTAAAAGATCCGTGCCTTTTATGCAGTCTTATACAGTAATTCAAGCAAGATTCACGATGCATTTTTATTATTAAAAGAATGACTTTAAAGTTAACATTTTCATTATCGAAGCTGACGACACCTTGGTTACTTCGAATTCCATAAATTATTGGAGATAAAGCCAAAAATAAAAACTACATATCGATATTAAAATTATTTGTTCAATCCATTGAATCGAGCGAAAAAAGGCAACTTTCGTTATCGTTAATGCTTATAATAATCAATAACGATAATTATTTATTCTTTCGACTCAAATCGATATTAGGTAATGTAAAATAAGAATTTTCCTCTGTTAAAAACTGATCCATTGCATTATACCAAGCAAGAAGCGCAGTAATAACACCCGAAAAACCACCGGCTTTCTCAATGTCGATATTCTCTAGGAACTTTGAAGCAGTCAATAAGGAAAATGTTATTATCACAGAGAGATTTAATAAAAGTATGGAAGCTTTCGATTTAAATGAGGCCACGAACAAGAGAAACGCAAATATTGTCCATCCAAGTAGGAAAATTCCAAGTGCTTGATTCAATTCTGATTTAGTTGTATATGCGGAGGTAATATTAAACCCTGGCATTAGAATTGTGGCAAAGGAAATCCAATATGCTCCGTATGAACAGCAGGCGGTAGCGCTGAATGTGTTGCCAACTTTGAATTCCCACATTCCAGCTAAAAGTTGTACAAAACCCCCGTAAAATAAGGCTACGCCTACGAATACGTCCGGGTGTGTAATCTCGCGAACTTGGATAGTGTAAAGGGAAATAATGAAAGTAGTAAGAGCAAAGGCAAACATTCCTGTTAAAGAAGATTCAGATTATTTTTAGTATGATTTAAGATTTAATGAAGCGCATTTTTTCATTATCAGTGATTATCTTTTCATACCAAGTGGGCTAGGATTACCAGTTTTTGTGCCGGGGCTGCTAATTTTTGGAACTGCATTAGCAAAAACATTGGATAAAATTTTCTCCTCGTCACTCATTTTTTAATAAAGCTGTGTGTGTCGTCAAATTTTATGATGGGAACTTTATTTTTCTCTAAAAATTTTTGGCAGCAAATGCTTTTAAATATGCGTTGCTATTTGATCGAATAAACACAAATCAATTGCGTCGCTGAAAGAGACCAATTTAGATAATAACATATGTATCGAGTTGTACACTGGAAAATCAAACTTTACCACTTTTCAATATCATATTACATTTAAATAATCCTGTGACCTTGCAACTAAATGGAATGATAATTTAATTCGTTATCCATTCACTCGGAAGGACGAAAATATACCTACCCGTTTGCTTTTTGATGACGCGAAAACTGCTTTTACCGAATACATGTATTCTAAGAATAATAGAAAATAAATGCGTAGAAGAACAAAATGTATTAATTGAAGATATATCATAGCTAGCTAACAATAGATTTCTCGTCTCTTTATAGTTCTTCTCTTTGATTTCTCTTCTCTTGTAAATATCTTGTAGCATAGATTAATTGTGATCTATAACATTTATCTTATTAAGAAACTATTTTGTTATTGGACTTAAAAGTTCTTTTTCCAATTTTGTGACTCTGCCTTTAAGTACAACATTTTCTTTACTAATTCCAAGATTCTGCTCCTAAGTTCAGCATTCTCAGCCATGAGCTCACGGTATTTGCTTAAGTTAAGCTCGGTATTCTCTCCCATATTTGCCTCAGCTTCACGTTTTGCTCAATAGCTTTTTATTTCAATCAATCTAGTTCGGATGACATGAGTTTTAATATATCATTTAAAATGTATAACTTCGAAGTAAAAAGGTTTTCAGCGAAGTCACTTCATTGAAATCATATTCATATGATCAAATTATGTAAATAAAATTCGTTATGCAAAAAATCATCACCGATATTTTGATTTGGGATAATATTATAGCACAGCCCCAAAACATTTCATACAAAAACCCGCCCGATGTGGACGAAAATAATTTATTATAATATTTTTTACATAGCGATATAACTGCACTCAAATCACAAGACAGAAGGAATCAAAACGATCATAACAAAGTGGGACAAGTTCTGCATGCCTTACTCACAAGCTAATTAAACTTGGGTGTGCAAAAGGTGTCGCGTTTGAACTTTGATTTTGCTGATGGCAAACTTGGACTGCAGGGTTTAGCATACAAAGTATCAAAGTATTTTTGAAAAAATCCCCTTGTATTTTTATAAAATTTCTAACTCATCAAAAAACAACATTTCCTTTATGGTATGGAAGCCGAAACTGCAATTTGATCAATATGAATCATGAAATAGGTTCCTTCAATCAGATCCATGATATAAAAATCAATTTTATTGTCTATATAATGAAATAGCAAGATATGATTAAAATTTTCTAAAAAAAATATTACATGCATATTACCAACACATTGGAAACCCATCACGAGGATATCGACACCTTTGTCAATTACTGAATCTATGCAAGCTTTCATGAAAATGCCGAGACGAATAAAATCTTCACAGTTCTTATACACATTATTTTTTTCCGATGGCGCGCTGACTCCAATAAATATAGCCAAATCTGTTTGGAGTTGATGACCACAAAATTTTACCGCTTATTGCAGCCTTCATGCTTTCTTAATTTGCTTTCATTCAGAGCAGTGTTGGTCCATTGAACGACGTGTTGATCCGGATTATGAAACGTTCCCTTCATAATTTAGTCTAAATAATTCGTTATAAATGTCATTTCACTGGTGTTCGTTTCTAATTTTCTCAATGAGCGACATTTCAAGGTTTTCCCTCAAATTTCGATCATTTGCAATTTCTGTATAGAGCCAATCAGTGGCACATTCACATGATCTTTTGTTAGCCTCTCTGAATTTTAACTCATATTCTGAGTTTAATGTTGTGTCCTGGACTGGCACGAGCAAGCAGGAACCAAATAGATCGACCATGATTTTTGAGTGAGAGTTTGGTGTAAGCAAAAAATTGATGACAACAACAGTATCTTTTGAACATTCGATTTGACAAAAAAACCGCCATTCTTTGCAGTCATTACTGTCTCATTCTGATATTTCCGAAATAGTTGGGACACATTAGTCTTCCCTATCTTATAATCGTTTGCAGAGTCACCATCCTTAAAGCATAGACCATCAATATCATCAATTTTCAAGATGATCATCTTCCTCAAAGAAAATCTTGTTTTCAGATTGCACATGTGATTCTTTTGGAGATTCGAATGATACGAAGCATATTGGTGGTGTAGTATAAGTTGCCTTGGGTAACCTTGAATGTGAGGATGGTGTGGAATATCCCGACAATATTTGAAGTTCATCCTCGTTGGCTGCTGACTGTTCGTCATTCGAATTCAACTAAATAATGAAACGGAAACATATCAATAAGTTAATTATTGCTGGAAGCAAAGTGAGCTTGCAACATCCTCTCCTTCAGATGAACTAGAAGTGGTTTAGTATTCTCCCGCCACTTTTGGTTCGACGTTGTTTAACTATATCATCGTCCTAAAGATTAAAACTGTAATTCAAGATCACAAAATAATAGTTATTAGTTAAAAAATGCGCACCTGAAGCATTTTCAACTCCAACTTTCTTTTATCTCCAATTATATTAGCGTGCATATTCAATATTTTACCTCGGTCGAGAACATAATTTAGTTAATAAAAGAGTATCAATCATAACTTTTATAACGTAAAATAACATATTGACTACCGTAAAAAAAAAACTTACATCATCAGATTTAACCTGTAAAGTTTTAGTTCATTTTGTAATTTGACATGTTAGAGATTTTGCTGTAAACTTACAGCTTTATGATCATTCCAGAATCTCTTAACTTCGGGGGAACGCTTAATATTCTAGAAAAATTCATATGATAAAAATATACTAATTACAACTCAAATACGTACAGTCACCACAAAAAGTAACGCCTGATTTGCATGTGTAAACAACATGGGAAAATATTTACATCCACTTTTTGTTATCGTTATTGTCTAATTTTTTATTATTTTCTTTTACTTTTAAACATACACTAGGCGAAATTTTTTAGGTATTAATATGATACCTGTCATACCAGTTGGCCATCTTTGACAAGGATAAAAATAGTGATTTTTATTGAAGTTATGAGTGTCAAGCAAGTTGCAAGAAAAATGTGACATAATCCAGTAAGAGCATAATAATCTCTTGCCAAGTACAAAAGAAACAGGAAAAACAAATTTACCACTATCTGAGAGACCATAAGCTCATAACTATCAAGAAAAAAAATGCATATATGCAAGAAACTAAAAAAGAGATCCCGAGATATTTCATAATATTGGTAATAAAAAATCTGTACAAAAATTTATCTGAAGATTCTTTAAGATAATTTGATTTCTTTTCATAATATAATTTGTTTATTGCAAGCTTGCTTGACACTGATTTTCTCTATTTGAATTTATTTATTTTTTTCTCTAATATAGAACAAGTTTTATTTTTTGAATATAATTAAGAAAAATATATTATAATCTGATAATAGTATAATGATCGCTTGTTAAATACAAAAGAGATAGGAAAAATAAAAATTTATTATTATTAAAAGATTATAAACTTTTAATAATTAAAAAAAATATACTAATACAAAAAATTAAAAAAGATATTTTGAGTAATTTCAAAATATTAATAATAAAAAATTTATGTAAGTATTTATTTAATAATTTAATAATCTCTTTATATTGAGAAAATATAACATTTCAAAGAAATAAAACTTAATTTATATTAGAAAAAGAAGTCATGAACAAAATTAAATAGAAAAATTAATAAATATTATATTCTTATAATTCAAACTTCATAAAAATTTTTTTTTCTCTAAATAAAATTAGAAAAGTTTAAAATTTTATTTAAATAAAGTATTTATTAAAAGTTATAATTAAATTTAGTAAAGAAATTATCTGAAAGTATTATATAATATATTTAATTCTTTGCTTTTTTATACTTAACTTTAATTTAATAATATTTATAAATATTAATATAAAATTATATTAATATAATTATATTATAAATATAAAAATAAATCTTTGTTATAATAATTATAATAATAAAAATTTTTATTATTAAAAGAATAAATATAATATTAAGTATAGTTTGATACAAAAAGATTAGTATACACACCTCTACAATATATTACCGGAAATTCTAAAAACAAATCTGCCACTTTGAAATCCAATATCTCAAAATTCAATGATCCAATTTAGATGAAAATACTCCATTAAATTTGTCATGATTCCACGAATCTTATGATAATATCTTTATTTAAATAAGATCACTAGATTACAAGAAATTGGGTTCTAAAATGATAGTTTCATTTTTGAAATTTTTAGTAATATATTGTGGGAGTGTGTATGTATATTAATTTTATGATCAATTAGATATTCATTATTTTTTACTTGTTTGAATTCATCAGAATCAAAATTAATATTATTATGACAACTATTAGCTAGTACTAGATTAGTTTAATTATAAATCATAATACCTTGATATATTTTCTTATTTTTTTTATTTGAATATTATTAAAATACAGATTACAGAAATTATTTTGTTTATCCAGACTATCCATAGTATATTAAATCTATATATATATAATAAATAATTAATAAGCTTATAAGAAATAAAGATTTCTTATAATAAAACTTACATCATAAAAAAATTCTGCTACTTTAATATTCAAGATAGTGATATTATTTGATGTCAAACTAAATATAATAGCCACTTTGTTATTTATTATTGGAGAATATTCTATAGATAATACTGAATATAAAATATTTTTAACCTTTAATTCTCATATAAATTAATAAAAATCAAGATTTTTTTCTTTATTTAAATTAAATCTCTAAGTTAATAAGAATTATTAGAATATCTATTTTTCTTGTATCATGTTATTCTTGATTTTACTTATATATTCAAGAGTTTTCAAGTTAATAAAGTCAGTTACTTGTATATTCTCAAAGAAAACTTTACTTTCTTCTATTTTAAATAATTA